CAAACTTCATCATGCACAGTATATCCGTTATATCCTTACTGGCAAAATGGATCACATTCCTTCAATAACACAAACCATTTAGAAAGGGGTTTTTCCCAGGGGTGGGATTCAACCGGTGTTGAACCGGTGTTCAGTGAGAGTGCGTCTTAGCTTTAAAAAATTAGCTTAATCCATCTTAGCTTAAAAAAAAAATCAGACAAATATGAGATTTCAAATCTTGTAAGAGGGGAAAAAATGGCACATACCTGGGAATCAGTCATTTGGTAGAGATCTTTGTAGCCCATGTAGACTTGGAAAGAATTGATACCTATTGAGATTTTTAAAAAGTGAATGTCAACTCAAAACATTTTGTATACATGTTTTATAGTTGACAACAGAAAGAAGGAGGGGGAGTTTCAAAGAGCAGGAGGCAGTGTGGAATCGAAAGTACATTCCAATCATGTTTTCTTCAAAGACTGATTAGATGACTGAAGCTTCTGCCGCGCAAAAATCTAACTGAAGAGCATGATTGATGACTTTTGGCTATGGACGTGTTTCGTTGGATGATACACCCAGAGAGGTGGGGGCGGGGGAAACAGGATCAAGGGTGACTGTGAATTACGTATCTTAAGAGTTGGCTACACCTGGGTAAATGCCGGACGTAGAATGTTACCTTCAAATCTTTGTTAGTTTTGGGAGTGTGACTCGAGGCTCATGATTTAATTGGAGTAACTGCTAGAATCCTGACAATGAATTTATTCACACACAATTCAGACCGTTCTCAACTTACGACCACCGTAGAGCCCCCAAATCTCGGTTGCTAAGTGAAACATTTCTAAAAGAGAGTTTGGTCCCCTTCTGACTACCTTTCTTGCCAATAATTGTTAAATGAATCGCTGCAGTTGTTCAGTTAGTGACACGGTCATTAAGTGGCTTCCCTGTGGACTTTGCTGTATAAATGAGAACCGATCGCCAAGAGTTCTGAATTTTGATCACGTGGCTAACGGGGAGGCTGCCATGTTGTAAATGTGAAAAATGGCCATAAGTCCTTTTTTGCAGCACTGTTGTAACTTTGAACAGTCACTAAACAAACTGTTATAAGTCAAGGACCAGCTGCACAAGGGGATTAGAACTAACTGGTGCCATAAACACAGATTTCAACCAACAATACACGGAGAGCCTGTTTTATTTTGGGATTTATAAACTATGAATTCTCTTCCCACCTACGTAACAGGGATAAGCTAATTTTCTGTTTTGGCCTAGAGGTAGAGCTGTCGCCTCACAATCAGGAGACTGTGAGTTCAATCCTAGGTAGAGGCAGATATTTCTCTCTCTGGGCAGAATGAGAATATATTTACCGAACAAAACTTCCTACTGGTGACAGGAAGGGCATCCGGCCAGTAAACACTTAGCTCCATTCAGCTGCCCAAGACTCCACCCCACAAGGGATTATGGTATTGTTAAAAGATGATAATGATGATTCTCCAGGTATTTGAGTTCGATCCTAGGTAGAGGCAGATATTTCTTTCTCTGGGCACACACTGAGAATATATCTGCAGAACAAAACTCCATACTGGTGACAGGAAGGGCATCTGGCCAGTAAACACTCAGCTCCGTTCAGTTGTCCAGACTCCACACCGCAAGGGATTATGGGGTCGTTAAAAGAGGACGGATGATATGTCCAAACGCTGAAGGGTGTAGTGAGCACACTCACAAAATGCTCTCCCCCAAAAGCTCTTACTACAAACCTTTGCTTTGCACCAGATTTTCGAGATCTTCCTGGATCCCATCATACCAGTCGGTGATGTCCACATGCAGAGAATAATCACAACAGGATTTGCTCTCCGCTGACTCTTTCCACTTTCCAAACGCCGTTAATAAATTGGAGCCGGGCTCTGGAAGGATGTGATCAACTGTGAGAGAAAGAGAAAGAGAGAGGGAGAGAGAGGGAGAGAGAGAGGCAGAGAAGGAGAGGGGGCGCCTGCACCACAGCAGGGGGGAGCATTTTTCACTGTCCCTGGGGTCTGGCGGCTTTCCATGAGCCTCTAGGAGGGCGAAAGCAGCCTCCCCTGGGCTCCAGAGGCCCTCCGGATGCCGGAAACAGGCCCATTTCTGGCCTTCCAGAACCTCCAGGAGGCCCATTTTTGGCCCTCCGTCAGCTTCTGCGCAGGCCCCGTACTTTACCTGGCATCCAAAACAGGCCACATGGGGACCCCTGGGAGGGGCAGGACAGGGTGGGCAGGGCCAGCCAGGGGTGGGATTTACCGGTTCACCAAACTGTGCAGAATCCTGGACTCTTAAGGCTTTTTTCGAACCTCCGAGAGGGCGAAAATGGCCTCCCCCAAGCTCCGGAGGCCCTCTGGAGGCCGGAAACAGTCCCGTTTCCAACCTTCTGGGTCTCCGGGATGCCTGTTTTTTGCCCTCCCGAAGCCTCCGCATGGCCCTGCACTTACCTGCATCCAAAACGGGCCAGGTGGGGACTCCTGGGAGGGGCATGGCAGGACGGGTGGGGCCAGCCAGGGATCAGATTTACCGGTTCGCCAAATTACTCAGAATCTTAGTTAGAGGATCGCCCGAACCTGTATGAACCCATAGCAGCTCAGCCCTGCCCAGGACCTCAAACCCATGTATTTCCTGTTCATCAGTAAACCATCTTTCCAATCAGCCTCCGTGTTTCCAGTGTATTTCTCCCTGCTTGGAACTGAACCCAGACGGATATTTCTTCCAACAAATGGAGGGAAAACCAACAACAACGACAACCAGAAAGTCTTTTGGAAAAGCACCAGGGGTGGGATTCAATTTTTTTAACAACCGGTTCTGTGGGCATGACTTAGGGGGTGGGTGTGGCTTGGTGGTCATGTGACTGGGTGGACATGGCTTGGTGGTATGTGATTGGCTGGGTGTGGCCAACTCAATATCACTCACATCGAGGCACGCATCTCCTCGCCTGGCCTCTCATGACTGTGGGGATGCTGCAACAGTCGTAAGTGTGAAAAATGGTCATAAGTCACTTTTTCAGGGCCATTGTAACTTTGAATGGTCCCTCCACACAAGCAAAGTACCAGCAAAGGAAGGGAAAAAAAACTCCAGAGAAGTTCCAGAGACAGGAAGTCTAGTCCTGCCAAGAGTGTAATAAGAATTAATGGAGAGGCAGTTTCTATAAGCAACACCAGAATGTTTCCTTCCTTCCTTCCTTACAGGATTAGGCCAGTAATTTCTTCTAACAACCGGTTCCCCTGTGTAGAATGTTAACAACTGGTTCTACCGAATAGGTGCAAACTGGTAGAATCCCACCCCTGAAAAGCACTTTTGGGACAACCATGAGCTGGAGGACAGAGAATCTCCACAAACATCCCTGGGAGAGGTTGAATCTCAGCTGCTTCAACACTTACTGACGGTGGTCGTGCCTCCGGCCAATGCAGCCTTTGTTCCTTGGTAAAAGTCATCAGCTACCACTAAGCCTTGAACAGATTTCTGGAGGTAAGTGTTGCTGTCGATGCCGCCTGGAAGGATCATGTAGTCGGTTGCGTCGATGGTCTTCGGGCTTCCAGGAACAATCAGGTTCTCCCCAATTTGTCTAGCAGGAAGAAAGCATGACTGCTTACTCTTTTATGGACGGAGGACCTGAAACATCTCAAATATACATTTTTTTCCTTTAAAGCAGAGGTCTCCAAACTTGGCAACTTTAAGACTTGTGGGCTTCAATTCCCAGAATTCCTCCTCCAGTCATGTTAGCTCAGGAATTCTGGGAGTTGAAGTCCACAAGTCTTAAACTGACCAAGTTTGAAGGCAAGTGGATTGAAGTTTGAAGGCAAGTTTGAAGGCAAGTGGGTCAGCCCTAAAAATCACCAAATACTTAAAAGCCAGGAAACACCAACAGAAAAACTGAGGAAACCCCTACAGAAGAAGATATAATTTAAAAAAAAAATATTGGACTGTGCAGAGGTGGATAGATTAACAATGAAGATAAAAGAACAAAAAAGACACAGAAGATTTTCGAACTTGCAACTTATTTTCTTAATGGTTAGACAACAGAGGTAGAAATTAGCAACTTACGATGTTTGCGAATAGACCCAGACAGTACTTTAAGCACTTATTTTATGTCAAGAGAAAACCAATTAAAAATATTTTTTTTTAAATCACCAAGGGACAGATTTCCCAAGACAGCTCGCTATGTTTTTTAGAGTGAAAATTTTGCTAGGAAGCACTGAAACCCTCTGTCAGCTGTTCGTCCAATATTGAGGGGGTGAACGATACCAACTCACTCGTGGAGCTTCAGTGAAGTTTTTTATTCGTCTCCCACACCACAACAACAGGTAACAGCGATCAAACTATGTTTAAAGTCAGCTCTGTGTTTCATTACAACCCAGAGCTGTATTTATACATGTTATACCTTGGATAATAACATCATTACTATAACCACCTTCCGGCCGCCTTCGCTGCCTAACATCCGACATCCTTAAATTAAAGAAACACGGTAACTGCACCTTTCCCCTGCTCGATGAGTCCATGCACCCCCATTTGCCCCGCGCCATTATTACAACATCACCCCCTTGACATCCAGCCATGAATCACCATTATTGCACCACTCCTTGTCAGGAAGTCAGTGTCAGTCATTGGAGGAATTTTCATCATAACGCCAACTTGGTAAGACAATCAATGTAAGGTAAGTAAAAGACGATGGTCGTATCGCATCTTGGCTGTCTTGGCTCCAGTCTGTTCTTTATTGGAGTCGTGACACCCTCCTCACCCCACAGCAGCCTCAAGAAGCCACCTGAGCACTGTTTCAATTAAATAAATGAACCACAGGTAGTCCTGAACTTACAACAGTTCATTTCGTGAGCATTCAAACTGATGGTGGGCACTGAAACAAAGCGACGTATGATCAGTGTCAGGGTTCCGATGGACACCCTCATTCATTCATGAGCCTCGAGCCAAGTTTCGAAAGAAATCCAATTATTCATGAGGAGCATCATGTTGGCGCTTTCCCCAAGTGCAGTCGGCTGTGCCCAACGTCAGAGGTGGTATTCAAATAAAGTTTGCCACCGGTTCGGTGGCCGTGATTTGGTGGCCGCGCTTTGCGTGCATGTACACACTTTGCGTGCACGCATGCACCAAACACGCACTTTGCGCAGGCACAGAGGTATTCTAACTTGCCTCCTGCAAGCCTGCACGATGGTGGATACTGCAGCAGCTGCCGCGCGACGCTATTCTGTGCCACACAAAGCAGCTGCACTTTGAATTCTGGCCATAAAAGTGAGTACAGGAGCCTGGGTGGGCAGGTGGGCCAACCACAGAGCAGCGAAGAGAACTGGTTCGGTCTCCGCTGCTCATCGTTGCTATCAGCTCTCCAGAACTGGGCAGAACCAGTCGAATACCACCACTGCCCTATGTCATTTACTACCCACCTATGACCCTGTTTCCCCCCCTCCTCCCAGGGTGCATCATAAATCACATTCTCCAACAGAGCACTTTCCCGGGCTGTAGAAAACATGCCTCTCCGGCTGGCTCTGGTAACCTGGGACACAATCTGGAGAAAGGCATGCGTGGAATGTGCTTCTGGTCATAGCAACCGAACTGCTCCATCAGATCTCTCCCCCCACTCCTTCTTATGGCAACTCGAGAGCAAGCCAGGAATGCTTTACGAGTTGACAATCAGTTTATCACACGTCCTACTGTTGCACCAACTTCATGGCCACGTGAACACAATTCAGACGCTAGGCAACTGATTCATATTTATGATGGTTGCAGCATCCTGAGGTCAGGGGATCTTGTTTTGTGACCTTTGGACAAGCAAAGTCAATGGGGGAAGCCAGATTCACTTAACAATGCCTGAAGTTACTAACTTAACAACTGCAGCAAGGAAGGTTGTAACATGAGGAACCTAGAGATGATGGACAGGTCCTTGGGCATACTCCAAGGCTCGTACGTTTGAAAAATGGTCTTTAGTTACTTTTTTCAGTGCCTGTGATGACTCAGGACATGACACAAAGGCAACGCAGTCAGATAAGCAATAAGAGTCCCTTTATTATCTCCAACTTTGCCCCCAATGTCCAGGTGCCTTTGGCTGGAGAAAAACTCTCCCAGAAACAGCTTTTAACTGTAGACAATTCAGTCCAAAACAAGGTACACACAAACTGTAACTAAAAATCCAAACAAACCAAGCGGAAGTAATTAACTTGACAGAGCAGGAGAAGGAATTTCAGACTTGAAAGCATGACAAAACTCACACAGTTGAGAAGACGCCAGGAACACAGATTAGCCACGATGGTACAAGATAAATTCACGATGCGCTCCCAACAACTTGCTGCACGCAGCTTCCCTTTTTAAACACTGTGTTCCCAGCTGCAGCTAACGAAGGGAATCAGGGCCCTTTCCTCCCCCGTAAGCCACGCAACTCACATTGCTCCCTTCTCCATTCCTCTCTGCATGCCCTAGGATGAAGAGGGGGTGGGCCTGGGTCTTCCTCTGAATTCCCTCTCCCTTGCTCTACCCCTTTCCTGCTCTGCCCAGCCAGACTTTGCCCTTCCCCAGTTTCTTCCACAGCCAACAGAGCCACACTCCCACTCCCTGTCAGCTGTTTGGCTTCCCCCTCCGAGTCAGATTCTGGCAGGGGCATGACAGTGCCGTTGTAACTTTGAACTGTCACTAAATTAACTGTTGTAAGTCAAGGATAATCGTTTAACCTTATCACTGTCTGCTTTTTACCTCCCTGTGTGTCATGTTTTAAATTTGAGTTGATTAGCAAACCAAGTTAGTCAAATCATCCTAAAAGAAGGTGCATCTTGTGTACCAACTAAATGTGCAAATAAATTTCAGGGTTTCAACACTAACTTGATAACTCCATCCTCCACATACATGTCGGCGTAGAAGGAGTGGTCATCGTTGATGATTCGCCCGTTCTTAATGAATAAACCATCACCCTGAGTGGACACAAAACAGAAACAGTGAGGACAACATTCAAATAATTCGATCGTACTGTCTTGTGACATGACTTCAGTATCTAAAAGAAGGGGTGACTTCTTGCCTCATCTTTTGAGAGGTCTTCTCCCTGGACAAACCACCATTCAGGGCTTACAGGATTGTGGGTTTACAGAATTGTGGCTTTTTTCAGTATTGTGGAGCAGAATTCCACCTTCCAAGCATATCACACACCTATTAGATACGGCTCCTATAGTGAAACACTTCCGTTTCTGAATTGCAAGAAGACACGAGATATATAATAACTTCAGAGCTTGACACTCTGGGTCAGTTGGCAACTCGTGGACTTCAATTTCCAGAATTCCCCAGCCAGCCATTCTGGGAGTTGAAGTCCACAGATCTGGTGGGAGGATTCTGGCAGTTACCCCCAATTAAATCATGAGTCTCAAGCCAAACTTCCAATACTTTAAAAGGATTTATTGAGAGTTAATATGCCAGCAATGCCTGGGTGTAGCTGACTCTGAGGCACATAATTCATGACCCTGGTTTTCCCCCACCCCCTGGGTGTATCATAATTCATATTCTCCAATGGGACACATCCATAGCCCAGAGTCATCAATCAGGCTCTCCAGTTAGAATTTTGCATAGCAGAAACTTCAGTCACCTAATTACTATCTTTGAAAACTATTTGTGGAATGCAAGCTGCCCACTGCTCCCCCCACCTCTCTTTCTGTTGGCAACACTAAAAAGACCTTAGAAATATTTTATGAGTTGACATCTGGGAGTTGAAGTCCAGAATTCTGGGAGTTGAAGTCCACAGTGAGTTATTCAAATCTGATAAATTCAGAATTTCCAAATAGTGAGGTAGCCCTTTAGGTATTGCTCCACGGGCTCCAATTACAATGGGGATAACAGACGATTTCATTTTCCAAAGTCGCTCAACTTCAATTTGTAAGTCCCAATACTTTGTGATTTATCTTGCTGTGTGTCTTCAATTCGTGCATCACCAGGTATTGCAATGTCAATGAACCAAACTATTGTTATGTCAGGTGTGTTATGGGCCAAGTGCCTATTATTATTATTATTATTATTATTATTATTATTATTATTATTATTATTATTATTATTATTAACAACTTTTATCCATTAAACATGAATCAGTCAACTGAACATTTATTTGTATCACAAATATCATTGACTGGCTCTGATGGTTGATTTTGTTGTTATTATTGTTATTATTAATATGCTCATCTCACCATTTCATGTGACTCTTCAGGGTTTCAACGCTAACTTTATAAGTCCATCCTCCACATACATGTCGGTGTACAAGGAGCGGTCAGATCTGGTGGCAGATCTCTTCCAAGTCTCAACAATTATTTTGCTTTATGATCTGAACAATGAATAATGAAAAGAAGCCATGGCTTGTTCTGATCTCGTTTTGGGAATGTAATCTTGGACTGTGGTTGCTTTTTTTTTTCCAAATTGGGTCTAGTGATGGATCCCATAATGGTTGAAACTAGCCATTCTCCCTTTCTCTCTCTCTCTCTCTCTCTCTCACACACACACACACACACACCACCACCACCACCACCACCACCACACACCATTGTAAAAGATCCTGGCAAGGGTTTTGCCCCTTGCTCCATCTTGTCGAGACCTCCTCCTCCTCCTCCTCCTCCTCCTCC